CGATGAGGGAAATCGCTACCATCCTATTAACTCCAACTTTTATTATATGTATTCCTAGAAGAAAATGAGTGCATAGAGATTTTAAGTGTGTATCTACCCCCCTACATAGTGTTTGAAATATAACGTGCTGATAGTGTTGGGTCAGGCAATACCACAGCACCTGCTTTTATTGGAAAAGAAAAAAAATTAAAAATTAAATTTTAGGGGTGGCTCATGGCAGCCCTGACTCATGGGAAGCTGGTGCCTTCCTGGTTCAGCAAGATGAGCCCTTAGAGCCTGTCCGGGTGTTGGGAGCAGGTCTCTCTTTCAGCAGAGCAGAAGGGGAAGAGACTCCATGATAAAACGAAGGCATCCTCACAAATAAATTACTTTCCTACCACAGCCGTGTGATTTTTAATTTTCCTCTAATTTCAGGACTGCAGCACTGATATAAAACCCCTCTAAGTGTTTTAGGGAGATGGTAATGGTCCTATACTAAAATAATTTAACCAACACTATAATTTTAGTACCACTATCAAAATGAAATAATGGCTGTTTACGGTGTTACACCTTTCAAATGACCTTCATTTGAATATAAATTGTGGCTCCAAACTCCAAAAGCTGCTCCATTTCAGGAGGCAGCAAACTGAGGATGCTTACCCAGGGTTTACTCTGCCAGCAGATTCTCAGCATAACCACAAAGGCCAAATGGTTTTTGGGGGTTCTTTTCTTCTAAAGTTGCCTAAGACTTGCCTAAAGGATCCATGTGGATCTGACTGGGAGCCTGAGCCACAGCCCTTCACTCCACTCCAAGCACAATGGGAATTGTTCTGTTTTATCTGGAAACACTTCTTGGTGATGGAACCATTCACTCACAGCTCCCTCCTCTACTACCCATCCCAGCTTGGACAAAGAACAAGGATTACTCTGCCAATAATCAAGTACCCAGCTGAGAGATGGTGGTGGATAGGTCCAATCTCAACCTGGGCCTAGGAAAACATCTCATTTAATTTTATTTTTTTAGGTTTAGACTCCGTCTGCCCATCACAGGCTCTTGCACTGCTTTTGGGGACCCTGTGCAGCCACCTCTGTCCAGAGGAGTTGCCAGTGCCTGGGCACTGGGGACCCCTTTGGCACAGACCCGGGCAGCTGTACAGGCACTGCAGAGGGAATGCTGCTCCCAAACGCGGGGCTGTGCAGCCCTCACAGCTCAGCCCCCGCAGCCGGAGCGGGGGCAGCCACGGCCGAGGCTGTGCAGAAGAAATCTCACTACAGACATTTCCTGGTATTCACTCATCCACCTGGGAACCCCAGTCTAGCACCAGCTATTTCTCTCTAATAATGAATTTTTGCCCTTTCATCAACATTAGTCAGAACAAGGTCTGAGAAAATTCCCATTTGGTGCCAGGAATATAACAGAAAACATTGACATGACTGGCAGCAAACAAAGCCAAGCAGTGTGCCCGGCTGTGAGGCAGTACAAGCTGCCACCACCTGATCCTGAGCCCTTCCAAGATCATTCCTAAGTGGGGAAAAAAAGTATTACAAAAAAAAGAGTTTCTCTGTAAAGCACGAGAAGTTGTGCTATGAACTCCCCTCCTGCAGACAACAAAGAGTCATGATCCCACAGGGATGCTCCATCCTCAGGTGCTCAGAGGCACTCATTCTCCCCCCTCTCCCCCAATTCTCAAACAAACCAATGGTGATCCAGGCATCAGGCCAAGAAGCTGGGGTGCCTTTGGTGCTGCTCACAACCTGAGTGCTACACAAGGAAAATCCCACATGCCAAAAATAGGGAGTGTCTGTAAACACTCCCATTCCAAGACACCTACATGTAATTACCTACAACTAGTGATGAGAAGGAATAAAAACCCACTTTTAGTTTTTAATTCTCTTCTCTGTGCATAAAAGCAAGAGAAGCCCTGGCCAGCCGGCCGGCCAGCATCTTGAGAGGGGAAGGGCAGTGTGTGGCCACAACTGTCTGTTTGGCAGCAGCACCATTTTGGGGCAGGAGGAAGGGAAATCCCTTCTCTAAAGGCTGACCTCTGCCTTTCTCCAGAGCCACCTTTCCTCAGCAGATCCAGCCCTCCTGAGGGCAGAGCCAAGCCAGCAGAGGATGCCCCAAGTAGAGATCCTGACACAACACCCATCTCCTCTGTGGTGATAAAAGGGGTTTAAACAAATAGGTATTGTATAAAACATCAGAAAACACAACAAATTAGTGATTAAAAATTAATTTTGCAAAATTACAGTCTTGTTAAGAGATGCCATCAAGGCTTTGCACATTCCTTTTCAGGCAGGAGGAGGAAGGGGACTTAAAACACACTTTATTGTATTTTAACAAAAACTGAAGAGGTAGAGACCCATGCCTTTGGTAGCCTGTCCCCCCACACTGCGTCTCAGGGGTGGCAGCACAGCCCCGTTTGGTGAGATCCAAATGATGCAGTGGGGGCAGGTGAACACCCTGCCCCGAGATCCCACCACAAAACTGCCCGTGGGATGCTCCGACAGGATTTTCATGCACTTGACAGCAAGGACTATGCCAAAATACTCAAGGTCAACAGACCAGCATGGTTTGAGGCAATCTGCACCTCTTAAAACAGTGACAAATATGTTATTTAATTTTAATGAGCTTTTTTGCATCTCCAATCTAATTACGGCATTATCAAGCACTGCTCCGAACTGCAGGTGGCTGCTCATTACTTGGGGTAAGGCTGTCACAAGCATTTTTCATGAATACTAAAAACTGCCTCATTTCACCACCCGCTCTGAAATATCCCCAGCTGATCACTCCACCTCCAAATGTGGGGTTTGGTGTGGTTAACAGAGAGTAGTGCTCACCAGCATGGCTCCTGCAGCCAAAACCCTGAGGGAAATCACCACATCCACTATCTCCCTGTTCTGCACACAACAGTGAGGACACCACGTGACAGGGCACTGAGGAAAACCCCTTGCTTCCAGATTGCTTCCAGTTTTTTCTTTCAACTTAGTATTTTTTCAAACCATTACTAAAAGCAAGGAAAGCTCCAACGTCAAAGGCATTTTGGCAAGATCAAAACTCCTCAGTTTTCCTCTCAAGCTTTGCAAAAAGTCATATTTTTCTACTGTTTTTTGGCCAATTCTTTTGACCGCCTCTCCTCATGGGCCGCAGTTTCCTCCATGAGGCACAAAAACGCTGAGCTCACATCCAAAAGGCTCAGTAACCAGCAAGAATCAGATATTTTAATCCTCCCTGAACTTCTTTTTCCCTGCACATTTTGGTGAGCACCGGCAACAAAGTGATAATGAAACCCCAACAGCAACTTTTCCTCTTACAAAGCAGGGAGGTGAGAAGGACACCTCTCCTCAGCAACCCCAAACCCTCACCCCTCAGGAGCAGCTCAGTTCATCCTTGGAATTGCCTTTCCCCCCCCCAAAACTGCCACAGCCGGCGGCAGTGCACCGACCTGCCTGACCGGGAGCACTCACCTGTGTCCAGGGGCCGCGGGGCGATGGCGGGGGGCGAGGGATGGCGGGGACACCGGGGACACCGGGCTTTGTGCCCCGGGGACACCGGGCTCTGCCCCACAGGGACGCCGCAGGAACGTGAGGGCAGCCCGGGCTCGCGCCGGGCTCGTCCAGTTCCCCTGGCAGCCTCATCAGTGCTAATTGAGGGCACCTGGGAGGGGCGGCGCACGCGGGGCTGGGGCAGCAGCACCTGGGCCGCCTCCTCCCCGCCAACTGTGCACACCTGTGTGTGTGTGTGTGCTCGTGTGTTTGTCTGTGTGTGTGTGTGTGCTCGTGTGTGTGTGTCTGTGTGTGTGTGCTCGTGTGTGTGTGCTCGTGTGTGTGTGTCCGTGTGTGCTCGTGTGTGTGTCTGTGTCTGCATGTGTGTGTCTGTGTGTCTGTGTGTCTGTGTCTGTGTGTGTGTGTGTGTCTGTGTCTGTGTGTGTGTGTGTGTGCTCGTGTGTGTGTGCGTGCTCGTGTGTGTGTGTCTGTGTGTGTGTGCTCGTGTGTGTGTCTGTGTCTGCATGTGTGTGTGTGTCTGTGTCTGCGTGTGTGTGTGTGTCTGTGTGCTCGTGTGTGCGCCCACGTATGCACGCGCGTGCCTATGTGTGTGCACGTGTGTCCGCGCGCACATGTCCATGTCCATGTCCCGGCACACACGACACACACAGCAGAGCTGTTCACACACGTGAACGCTGGAGGAGCCGCGGTTTGGGAAGGAGCGTTCCCGCCGCTGCTGCAGTCCCGGGTGTCCCTCTGACCTTGCTCAAACCGCAGTTCCTTTGGGACGCGGGATCGCTGCCACCGGGCCCCCCCATGGCAGGGGCTGGCGAGGCAGGGACACTGCCCAGGCAGGGACACTGCCCAGGCAGGGACACTGCCCGGCGCTCCCGGGAATTGCTCCTTCCCGGAGGGGGAGCTGCAGGAGGGCCCGTGAACGAGGCACCGCGGGCGAGTGTGGCGAGATCCGCGTTTGCTCAAGCCGGGCCCCGAGGATCTGCCGGCTCCCCCGGCCGCTTCCTCCAGGCCCCTCTAGATAAGCACATTGACTTTAAACTAAAGCGTGTGCCAACAGCTGCAGCTCCGCGACCGGAGCAGGCAGAGATGTGGCGCTGAATGATAATTAAATACATTCTCATCATCTGTCATTTTTTACTGCAGGTGCCAGTGCAATAAATCTGAGCTTGACTCTTCTGTCAGCTGGCAGCAAACATGTTTTAAAGCCAGATCTCGGGGGATGAATTCAGAATGGATTGGCCTTGCACAGGGAGGAGCCACCTCTAACACACCAAGTGGGTAACGCATACCTGATTGCTTTCATAATACTTTTATTATTTTGGTGACACCTTTCAACCTGATCCTACAAAGAGGGCAAACACCTCCACCTCTGTCTCCCCCCACACCCTAACCCTCCCCACATGGCTCTGTTCTCAACCCCCAGCGCTGTCCCAGCATCTTGGTGTGCCCATGGCCCACTAGGGGTACTAGGATTCTGGTCAAAGAGGAAAAAAAAAAATCAAAGAAAAAAAGAAAAATTTAAAAAGAATTCAAATTCATTTAATTAGAACAACTACAACTCAGAAAATTAAACATTTAAGTTACTATGCTGTAAACCCAACTCATCCCTCTGGTGCACAGCGATGGAGCAGCTGTTTCCCCGTGGATGGACGCCAACCTCTCCCCGGTCATCTTGTGGAGAACAGTGAATCCTTCACTGCAGACACTGCTGGGACACCCCGTGTGACACCATTTTCCACACGCCTGTGATGCAGCACCAGCCCCTGAAGTGTAATGACGCTGAAGGAGTGAATGGTTTTGAAGTATTTATTGTTTTACCAATAGTTTTCTTCTCTTTGCCTTTTACACACAGCCTGGCTGACACACAGACCAGGTACAAATCCAGGTGCCACAGGATGCTCCTGCCCCCGAGCTGGCCCCTGTCCCAGGAAGGATGGTAAGCCTGGCCACGGGGACCAGCCCCTATGAGCCCACGTGGGGAAAGCACGGAGCACGAAGGGAAAAGCCAAAACAGCAAAGAGAGAGAACCATGCCCCCAGTTTCGCTAGCGAGCGCCAGCGCCTTGGCACACCATGGTCGGGGCTTGCCAGCTGCACCCGCTATTTATAACACTGGCACTTACATAATTAGAGCTCGACAATTTAAAACACAGGCCTGGAAATCAGAGCACTTTATTTACCCAGTCAAAGCTGTATCAGCGCAGTTGGCTTTCCGAGGGGGGAAGTGGTGTTTATGGAGCACCTGTAGGCGCCTCTCTGCCTCCAGCTGCCCTGAATGGCAGTTCCCTCCTGGCAGCATGGGCTGGTGGGAAACACACAGGTAAATCCTTCAGCAGCACTCTCCGGCTTCCAAGACTTGCTGGACTTTCAGCCTTAAAAAAATCCCAATTTTAATTTGGGGCAGAATATGCATCTGAAGGGGCAAAGAGCTCTGGGTCCTGCCCCAAAGTGGGCACAGGTGCCTGGGCTTGCCCCCAGGTGGTTTCTATCTACATTAACTGTGTGTTCCACCCCTTGATCAGTTTTGACTTTGGCCTGTTACTCTGCCAGCTCTATGTGTGTCCTGGAGCCACAAATGCTTTTTTTAACAAATTAAATTAAATCATAAACAAGCTAAGTGGCTACAGAAGAGCAGAACCCCCCTTTTGTGTGCAGGAACCAAACCCAGTGCTGCCTACTTAGCAGTTTCCTTCACAAGCACACCAGCTCTGCTTGGCTCTCCCTCGCTGGAGCAGCAACACACTTGTAACATCATCAGAACACAGGTAGGACTCCAAAAAAATTTCTGGGAAAAGCCATGACTGAATTCGGGGGCAGGAATCACTGACACTGTACTTACAGCATTGTTACAGACCCTTCCCTACTTCCCATAGTCAGACTATCCTGAGATGGGGTTTTCACCGCTCTCCCCTGCACATTCCTAAACCCACCATCCCCGAACCCAGGATCCACCAGTGCCAAAAATATCTGATGTGGGTCTGCGATAGCCCACGCCAGCGCCACTGCCCACAGCCTCCCCTGCGCTGTAACACCTACTTTAAACAAAAGCATGTTCTCGTTTCATTAAAAACAGTCCCATGGATTAAAGATTTGGATACCACAGCAAAGCAAGTTAAACATTTACTTTCTATTAAAACATCTAAATGAGAAGATTAAAACCTGTTTTACATTAAACAGGCAAAGTCAAATCATCACAGGAGCAGCGTAGCGGGTACTTAGAGCCAAGGCCTTCTGATGTGCAGAGGTAACCCATTTATGGAGGGAGGGATGGGAGGGATTTCCTAAAACTACTCAGAGAGGGGTAAAAAACCAAAAGCAGACATACATTTGAACAAATCTCCCTTCATTGTCCCCACGCCCGCCTCCCAGAGCCATTCTGCTGCAGCTCCAATCAGCTCACTCCTGCTGACAGCTCTTGCCCCAGATTCCCCCATAAAATATTTTCACAGCTTATTACTCTATTTAGCACACTGCACGCTTAAGCTCTTTTGTTTATTTTTCATTTGAGACGGCAGGAGGAGACGATCCAATGGAATGCAGAAGGGGGTTATTGACTGTGTTTAGTGGCAACTGTTCACAGGAGCAGCAGTTAAGAGGTCACGGAGGTGACGCAGACACAGCTGACTGCTGCAGGAATTTATGCTCTAATTTTCTAACATCCAAACAGATTCTGCCTGGTAACAGAAACCACCAAACTACGGCTGTTACTGCCAAGGCAGAATTCCCCCCGGAAGCTGAATGTCTCCCTTTACAGGGCCAAAATCCAAGTCCATTTGTAAGCGCCTGCAGCTGATCTAACAGCGTTCAGACACAAGACCAGCTCGGTCCTGCCATGTGGGTGCTGAGGCAAAGCTCCCACTGCCGCCAGGCACCTCTTCCACAGCGTGTATTAGCCAAGCTCCAGGATCACCCATCCCACCAAAAGGTTTTGGTGATGCAGTTTCAGATGAGTGCCAAACCCACAGGGTAACACAAAGCACCGTTGCTGCCAGACATGGTCCTTCATCCAAACACCGAACGTGGGCACTGACCCGGCACGTGCAGCGATGCCCCGCGGCTGGCAGAGAACCCCCGTGGGGACTCGCACACAGATCCCAGCCCCGAGTTTCAGAGCGATGTACTTTCATGTACTAAGCAGCCAATTTTACACTCCCCCACTACCACAGCTCCATCAGTTGATCTTGCTGCCATTAAAGGAAGGCATCGGAGTTCCCACGCTCCATGTAACAGAATTAGACTGAATCCCCCCAAATGTCCTAGAGGTCATCCCAAAGAGAAGTCTCTACTTCAGTTTCTTTTTCTACTTGGTTTCAAAAGTTTATTTTAAAAGCAAAAAGCAGAAGGAAGCGAGGGGCAGAGCAGACGCATGCAGCCCCTGGGATAGAGGGTTGTTTACTTTAAAAAGATCACAGAATTTCAGGGTGAAGCAGCACCCAGCAGAAGGGAGAATCCCTTGGAAGTGCTGCTTAACTGGCCTTGTCAGAGAAGTTTTTTGACATGAGCATGTACTATGTAAAAGGAATCATACCTTTGATTAAAATATTTGGAAAAAAGTTGTACAGCCAGAAACCAAAGGGAAGTCTCACCGTTATTTCTCATCTGATCACACTGAATAAAAGGGTCCAACTTACAAAGTATTTTAGGACAGAACTTTGAGGCTCTACTGCAAGCAAATGCATTTTGCTGCTTGTGCAGACTAAACATACTATATACAGACAGGAAAGTAGCTGGGTGGCCCCAAGGCTCGTTGTCAAGAAGTCACACGACCAACGCTCATGGGGAAGGGTCCCAGTACCTGCTGCGAGCGGGAGGCACGGGAACAGCCCTGGGACACTTTGTGGCTACCACTCGCTCGACCCTGCAGCAGCCGGGCGTTGGCATTCCCGCTGCCATCACTTGCGCTCCAACACCCAGACGTGGGAGCCCCCGGGCAGGCAGCGGGATGCTGCGAGCCCGGCGCTGAGCTCCGCCCGCAGCCCTCCCCGGGGCGGCTCAGGCGCTGCCCTCGCCAGAGCCACGCCGGTGGCTGCCCTACAATCGCTGTCTCCTCCCGCAAACCTGCACATTCAGTGCCTTCACAGCACCCTCCTGTGGGGATTCCGCGTCCGTACAGACACGGGGGCAGCTGGAAACGGGGCGCGCTGGAAACCCTCGTCCTCCGGCGATGCCGCAGGGACGGACAACTCCAGCCGCCTGAGCCGGCGGCCCCGCTCCGCCCGCGGCACCTCCACATCCCGGTACCGGGCGGGACGAGGCGATGCCAAAGCACCGCGGCACCGGCACCGCCCGGACAGGACAGGCAACCGCGGGGGCACCGCCCGGCCTGAAACCAGCTCGTCCGTAACCGACTGACTCACAGAGCCAAGCAGTGACAGGTAATTACAAAACCAAGTAAAAACCCACGGCTAAAGCAGATTTCCTGTAGCAATCCCTGACAAATACAAACTGTACCCCAACTTCTTCCCCGGGGTGTGCGATTGCCCCCCATGGGGTATTATCAGTGCTTAAAACCTGCTCTCAAAACCAGGGAAACCTTCATTTTGCAGCACATCATTTGGAACCACATCCACTTTAACACTTTTTCTACTTTCATAGTGATGCTGCATTTTCATTCAGATACTTAAAAACATTTTTATCAGAACTTACAATGATTTTACATAACACTTTGCACCACGATGAAAACCAGTCAGTGTACTCATTTTTAAGAGAAGGAAGATTTAAGAGAGTTTATAATAATTATGTTACTAAACATTTAAGTTAAAAAAAAAGTATGCATGTTACTTACACTGTTGATTTACAGCATTCAGAGTGGTGCCAAGATACAGAAATCCCAACTATCATACACCTTCCCACTTTTTGCAAGGATGCTGCAAAATTAAGAGTTGGATGAATCTAAAATCTGAATTACTGATTACCCTCCAGGTTATGCAGTAATTTAACATCCCTCAGCACACGTGACTTGCAGAGCACATACAGATCAGTTCACTTGTGCAATGGGCAGCAAGAATGTGTGGCATCATTCACTTTTGAAGCCCCTCACACCAGAATAATTCATCTGAATAGATGATGCTTCTGCAGGAACAAATCAAGTTTTTTGCTTCTCAAATGAACAGGATTTTTAAACAAGTCTGGCAGAAGAGCATTAGGTGAAGCGCAGACACACTACAGGCACCCATCTCTAGTTTACATGCTCTAAAGCAAGAGTGATCATGGGAGGGATGATAATCCCTCATTTACTTCTTCCTCCACCTAGAGAGGGAAGTTCTTTCCATACCCTTAACTGCCTGGCAATGACCGTTTTCCCTTGTCGGGAATGGCATGTTTTCCCTATCCCTGAAGTACATGAGTATCCTGTCATGGAAAAGAACAGGCCATAGAATCAATCACAGAAGCTGTCAGAGAAGAGAAGAGCATCTAGTCTGGAAAATTCAGGTGCAAAACTGCAATTAAAAACTGCCGTTCCATTGCCACAAAGCCTTTCCAAACCATCATCCTGGACTGTAACTAAACCCTCCTCTTGAAAGTTAAAATTTCACTGCACTCATGAAACTCTGAGAAAGGAAGAGCTGCTCAGCTACCAAATTCTGAAGACATAACTGAGCTCTACGGCTGCTCTTCCAGGGCAATGAAAGGCTGAGGCTGATGGGAAGAGGGTGTGTGGAGACTGGGAGCAAGGGCTGAAATCCATCCTGCAGAACCCAGGAAGCTGAGAAGCAGACGTGGCAGAACAGAGCAGGCAGAGCTGCAGCAAGATGCACCAAGCACGATTTTTGTTGTTAGTGTGCCACGAGGTCTGTGTCAGGGAAGGCTGGGTAGGACAGGAGACTCCCCTCACTACCAGATGTACAACACAACTTACTACTACCATCAGAAACTACAGCACCATCCGGGCAGCAGCAGCAGGATTTTCCAGATGACAACACTTCATTTCTACCTTGAATATCAGTTCTTTCTCCATTACCCAGCCCTGCTCAGGGAATAGTGGAGCTATTCCCAGATACAAAGAAAATGTGTCCTAAATAAATGGAGAAGAGAAAGGCAAATAAAATGTTTGATAATAAAGTCTTGCAAGCTGTAGCCTTTTACAGGAGGGAAATTATCTTCACAGCCGGAAAGACACCTCTCCTGGCATCAGGGTCAGAACTTCTTAAGGAACAGTGAAGCCCAGACCGTCCCTAACCCAACAGGTACCTCAGGAGCACTGTTCCCCAGCTGCCACCTACTATACATCCACAAGAGAAAAAGTGAAGCTGCAGCATAAACCCCGGTTATCAAATTACACATGGATCAAACTACTGAATCAGTATATTCCTCAGCCTCTCCTCAGCCCACCGCCCTGCCAACGTGTGAGGGCCGAGGTGGACGGGAAGTGAACAGATGGCCCCGGGTGACAGAGCAGAACTTTCATCAGGAACGCACATCGCGGTGCCTTCCAGGCCCCTCCAAGGAACAGAGAAAGGCAAGTTGTAGTATTTGTTTCATACGTTCATCACAACAGGAACATCAGCCAGATCTAGACTAGGTCCAAGGGATAATCACTGTAATTAGTGCTTCGTTCATATAATTACCAGCAGACCCTGTAACATTTTACAATGGAGGTAATTACCCACATTTTACAGCTGAGGAAACAGATAACAGTGCAGGTGAGTAACTTAAAAGAAATCATCAGTGAAACTGTGGCGCAGCCAGAGACTGCAATTATCCTTATTCCCAGCCAAGGCTCTCCCCAATAATCCGTGCTGAATTCACTTCTGTCTTGTGGGAAGGAATCCAGAGAAAATAAACACAAACTGGAATTTCCAATGTCTAGAAGAGCTGAAAAGCAGACAAGCCAAACCTGAAGGAGAAATAAAAACACATGTTTAACACTGAGCATTTTCTGAGCTGAATTGAAGCTACGAGCGAGGGACAGGCAAAGGACCCTGCTCTAGCAGACACAAAGCCAATGTGGGGTGTCAAGTGCTACAGTTCTACTTCTGAAGCAGAGGAAAAGCAGAAGCACAGGAGCAGGTCAGGGCCGGCTGCCCAGCGGCACCGGCTCACCCTCTCAGCCATCAGAGACCTTAACGCGCTTTGAGAAGTTAGAGATTAAAGCAGGAGCAATAATTAAATTTAAGGACTTAGCAAACCAATGCACACCCAGAGCAGCAAGCAGGGTGACAAGCCTGAGAAATTCACCCCCAGCCTGGGGAGAACCTCCCCACAGAGTTGCTGCCAGGGCCCGTGCTCTGCTGCGAGGCCAGAGCAGCACTCGGGCTCTGCTGGAAAGGGGGAATTCCCTTCCCCTTCACACTAGAGCAGCAGGATCTGTGCCTAGAAGCCACCAGCCATGAAACACGAGTAAGGTCTGTTGCCACTTGCTTAGTTTACTGTGTACAGTAAGGTACTACACAGAAATCTGTGTTTTCCCAGATATAGGCCTGGGCAGGGGGTATAGACCTGTCCTGTACCTTCATCCTGCACCTCTGGATGAGCTTCAGTATTAATAGAAAATACAGTGTGCATATGCTGACTGATAAATCTGATTTTTGAAAGTAGTCCAGGCCAAAGTGAGCAATTTGCTGCTGTCTGAGTATGTTTTATTAAAAGAGCAGTACACACAGGTGTCTCTCAGGTTGAATAAAGCAGATTACATTAATCCAACCCCAGCTGCATTACCTGAACTGCAAGACATGCAACACTCTAAATCTTGCACATGTGCCAGGGATTTCAATTCAACCCTTCAGCATTTGGTTAAGGTTAGCATGTAAAAGCCTCCAGCAGCAGAAGATACTGCACAGATTTCAAAATTAAGACTTGTTTCAGGAGTGGACGTTATCAACATTCTGGCTTTGAGTAACAGAAAAACCTCATAGGCAGGAGCAAATCTCTCAATAGAGTATTCTCTCAATATTTAAATAGACAAATGTTTTGCTTTACAAACATCTTGCAGCATTTGTGTAGTTCTTTGATTAAGTGTTTGAAGAAAACATGTATTTTAGTTCCTGCTCTGTAAAAAACAAGCTCAGTAAAGTGAATGAAGTTCCATCATTTCTTGCCATCCCAGGGTCAGCTGTTGCTGTTCCTGCTGTATCCAGCAGCACTGCAGCAGAAACCTGGGGATGGATTTTACGCTGGGGCAATGCTACTGCTAGGTCAACAAAGCAGCTTTTCTCGCTAGTATTTACTGGTTTTTATACAAGAAACTGAGGACAATTCCTAACTCCTCCCTTCCCAAGCGTCCTGGAAGCCCATGCAACAGCTGAACAGGCATAACCCATGTTATTACACCGGTTTCTGCGGATAAACATCTGCGTCTAACACAATACGTGGAAAGATCACAACAAAGCATGCACCACTCTGTCACCCCACCACCTTGGGAGCTACACCCAGCTAGTTCCACGGCTCAGAGCGCTTACCTTATGAAAGGAGGCAGGATGGACATGACAAAACATGAAATGACAAAAAAGAAACAAGACATTCTAACCATATTTTAAGCTAATCTGTTTTTATATTATTGACTCCAATTCCCAACAAACATTTTTATTCCATCTCTTCTTTTTCCCTGCTATTTGTTCTAGCAGAAGGCAACTGCCAGCCAGCCCTCTGCACAGGGAGGGAGATTCCCTTCAGTTTCCAGACGTCTAAATAAAGGTTTTTTAAAAATTGCTTCCCCGGAAAGTCAAGGCATTCACATCTAACTGCTGCCAACATAAAAGATGTGTTACAAGGAGGAGAAAAACAGTCTTCAAGGAGCTTTCTTGAGCAAAATAAGTATTTTTTCCACTGAGTTTTAAAAACCCTTTTCTGGAGACTGGAGAAATAGCTCAAGATGATTTCTAGAGGATCCTTCTTATCAGGCTGACAGGCAGCATTAAACCCAGAGCCAGAGCCAAATTCCAGCTATCCCAGACACACTCAGTGAGGAGCAGTCTGTGTATCAGAACTGATGACTCCAGGTCTCCAAAAACTATTATAGCTAAAATTTGGAACAGGAGGGGAAAGCAAGAAACCACCTGAATGCTTAAAGCACTGATGTAGGTAGGCTGTGATGGTCCAGCACAGCTTGTAGCCATGGGGTCAGAGAAACTCACACACCAATATGGAGGTGCTGGGCAGAGAATTCTGTGAATTCTGGACCTGCCATGTTATTTTAACAGGCAATTCTGCCACACAAAGGCAGTTTAAAAACAGGGATCTTGTGGTTAAGCACAGAGATCAGTGCTGGAAATACCTTTCTCAAGCAGGGATGCCAATCCAAACCAGCTGCTTCCTGAACCATGCTCTGGTGATGATGGTGAATCCCTGCTGCTCACACAGAACTTGGGGCTGATCCCCCGGGCCTTTCAGAGGACTCACAGGGAAGGAGGCAGCTCAGTCTCCACCCTGGGGGTCAGCAGGACCCCCAGACAGGGAAGCAGAGCTTGCTGGGTGTTCGGGTGGGCTTCAGGCTCCTCCCAAGGCCAGGCACTGGCAGAGCCCATTGGGACTATGTAAACAGCTCGCTGCAATTTTAATCTGTAGTTCCAATGAATGATATATTTATAAGCATCAACAAGGCTCTAAGAAGACCTAAATCCACTTCAGTGTTCATTTAGAAGCTTCATTTGCGTGCAAGGAAAACTGCAGCATTAAATGTTAGAGAATAAAATAATGAGACACTTAAAAAGCAATCTGTACTTCAGTGGGCCGTGCTCCATGGATTTCACATGATCATTTACCAGACAAAACCAGAATCTGGCCAAAATCCGTCTTATCCACCGGTTCCCTTTCAATAGGAAAATGGAAAGAATCAGCTACTAAGCTTTGGGGGCTTTGCCATCCCACGTACACACCATGCTGCTTCCCTAAGCACAGCCGTGCCTAAAGCACAGCTCCAGGCATCGATAACTTCCCTTTGGGCTCCAAAGATAATGGAAAAATAAATGCAAATTGAGTTTCAATTGAGATTTTCATTTTGGTCTAAAGCCTAATCTTTTATTAAAACAGCTATCAGTTTGGAGCTGATGCTTAGGAAAAGTTATCTTCAGGATAGGGAACAAAATTTCAACAGCAAAGAATAGTTCTTATTCATAAGAGTATCTGAAATACTCGCATGGTTACTTTAGGCTATCAAAATGTGACTGAAGGGGACATGGATGGGCCATGGGTCTTACTGAACAAAAGAACTGTAGAAAAAATGCAAATGAAAAGCGAAGATGTACATAAATATCAAAATAAATTAGATTACGTACTGGGAGAACACATCAAAAAAAGTAAAGTATTATACAGGCAACATACACACTGTTGAACTTAAAAGAAGCAAAAACCAACACAAATTGCACAGTTTATTAACAACTGAAACAATGTTTATTCAAGAAAAGCCAACATTACCCATCCTCATAGAAAAAAAAAAAAAAGACATTTGGGGAGGTCAAAGAACACTACAGTTTAAAATGATGAAATGTTACAGCTTACACACCAAAATTAAAAATGAAATGAAATTAAAAAAATGAAATGGTTACCAAAGTAATGCAGGTCAAGGGATCAAAGATGAAGGGTCACACACTATTAAAAAGAAATCCAAAAGGGCGTCTGCATCAAGATCTCTGTAAAACAAAGGAGCTTCAGTGAGTAAAACTAGAACCTTCTATGGAAGCACATCAAAGCTCCCACACTCCACACCCAGGCCTGCGCCAGCGGCCACCAACCCTCCTGGGGCCACCGACCCTCCTGGGGCCACTGACCCTTCCTGTGGCCACCGACCCTCCTGTGGCCACTGACCCTTCCTGTGGCCACCGACCCTCCTGGAGCCACTGACCCTTCCTGTGGCCACCGACCCTCCTGTGGCCACCGACCCTCCTGTGGCCACTGACCCTTCCTGTGGCCACCGACCCTCCTGTGGCCACTGACCCTCCTGTGGCCACTGACCCTTCCTGGGGCCACTGACCCTTCCTGGGGCCACTGACCCTTCCTGTGGCCACCGACCCTTCCTGTGGCCACCGACCCTTCCTGTGGCCACCGACCCTGGCAGCACCAGATGACTCCTGTTCCCAGCCACTTTGGCTTGTTCTTATTAACCTCCCTGCAGACAGGCTTCTACAATTTCCCCACTTTCATACTGGGGTGCTGGTTTCCTGCTGCCCTGGTCAGCGCCGAGGGTAGGAGCAGCACTGCCCGAGCTGTGTTGGCTGCAGGGCAGAGCGCACGGTCCCACACGGGCACTGAGCTGTGCCAGGGAGGCTCTGCTGAGGTCACAACACACGGGCTGTCAATGCAACTGGCAGATCATCGCTTCTCAGGGAAAGCTTGACACGTTTTTCCAAGAGTTTCCTTTATTCACTGTGATTGTGGAAATCTGGTAATTAGTGACACACGTGCACACTGAACCCCTCGCATTGTAATGTATTGCTTTAACGCTACAATAAAAAAGTAATTCAAATGTGGTTTCTAAGACAAAGGCCTCTCCTCCTGGAATTTCAATTACACAGAAGCTATAAAACAACCTTTGGTACCCATTTCCAAGCAAGATGCAGTCAATTATCTATAATAAATTTATGCAGAGAACGTAATATTTACATCAGATAACTTTTGGAGAAAGACAACCACCAAGGGCATTGCATCCCTCTTCAATCCAGCATCCCTCCCCCTGCCTGGCAAGGCATTAACTTTTGTGAGTCTTTTATCTGGACCAAACCAACCCGATGCTTGAAGCCAAGAAACAAAATCGCCGCACGAACCTCTGTCTTTGTAAGGCAAAGAAGCCCCCAGTGTCAGAGAACCACCATATGTAACACTGACATACAGTGCAAGGATCTAGTCTGCCTGGATGTTTTCCCAGAAAACACATCTCATCCTTCCACATCACTTCTGCTTCACGCATGTCACAGTGAGGAACACACTGCAGAACGCAGAAAGGTCCATATTCCCCCTCAGCAGCACTGTCTGACAAAACCTCCTGCTAAAGCTACTGCCACATGCTGGAGTTAAAGCTCGGTTCCTGCCATTATTTGCAACATTTCTCAATTCCAATTTCTGTGAACCAAACCAGTTAAGTCCACGTTTCCACTGTTCTCTCACCGTTTTTTTGGGCTGGCTCCTCTCACCGCGACTCACACTGCAGGTGTTCCAGATGACCTCGCTGTGAAGGAAAGCAGTTTGGGAACCCAGGGACTTCACTCAATAGCACAGACACAGGCTTGCAGTGACTCAGCAGCTAACTAAGTCCGAAGGCACCAACGTGAGTGGTGTGATCAGGAAGACTGAGAGCTCAGGAATCTCACAGAGGTGTGCAACACGGATGTTCCCGTGGGGCACACCAACATTGTGGGGCTCCCTCACTAGTTCTCAGGTAACACAAAGATGAGTTTTAGGTAACTCTAGGAACATTTTACCCCTGGAACTACAAGGCCTCCCAGGAGGTGCAGCTCTCCGGGGCTCCCCGGTGGCTGGCTCGCCCCAAGGCTGTGTGCTGCCAAACAGCTCCTGTGGTCTGTCAACAGCAGAGCACTGACATCACATCCACAAAGCCTTGGTTTTTCTTTCCCTCCACCGCAGTAATTCCACCCCCTCCCACTCTCCTCGGGACACTGTTCCCCGCAATGATCACTGCTTTGGCAGGAAACAGACCGGTTTCCCTCTTTTTCTTAGGCACTGCCCCTGCAGAAAACCTTCGCTTTGATTGGCACTAATTTTTCCTTCATATCTAGTTTTAATTTTTCACCTGATTCCCTGATTTTTCTCTTCCAAATGCAACAGCCACCCTCGGAAGCAGCAAACCTGAGATCAAGATGACAGGATTTCAATCACTTACAAAATATAATCTCCTCAGTTCCCATTCATTTGCCAAGTGAACCAATTCCTTTGTGTGTGTACATGCCAGGCCCTGGCAGAGAGACTGAGATTGACTTTGTAAATTGACTTTGTTGTAACATTTTCCTTGTAAAATGAGGTACAAAGTATAACTTGTGTAACATCAGTGAGTATTTTAGCGCCAGGCAAGCCAGAAACCCAGATACATGATGCAGAGATACCTACCACTACTACTGGTGTTCCTGTAGGTAAAAAGGTAAATACTAACTGAATTAATGCACTCTGATGACTCACTCCCGTTTCAAGAAGGGTGCTGTAATTAATAACTCCAACTTTTTATTCCCCACACACCGGATTCCACTTTCTCTTCTGATACTACACTTCGGGGTAACCATACATCATGTATGGTTACCAAGGATGAGCTGCAACAGATGACACAGGTTAGGAAAAGCACACCAGCAACTGGAGGAAATAATATTCCACCTTATTTTCCCACATTCCCAGACCAATCTACAATACCCTTTTTTTTTTTTTAATTGTGTTAAGCATAAGACAGACAAAGGATTCCAAGCTGCTCTACAGCTGCTGAACTACGGTCATTTACACAACTCACTCTTAGTGGAGGACCTAGAGGTGTCCCATAGCAAAAAAAAACAATTCCACCAGACCAATTCCACTCCAAACTAATCTCTAGAGAGTTTCAAAAATACTCAGCAGTACTTTGACAGGTTACTAATGGCAAACAATCAGGTGGTTAAATACCACGACCATTTTATATTTTGTGTATAATATGCTAAAACTAATGATGAAGCAATTTTTTTTCTTTAGGCTATCATGAAGTGTAAAAAAGTAAATTAATTCAATCGAGTTCACTTGGAAAACAAAAACAAATGAGGAAGGCAGTGCATTATCCCCGACCCTCCATTTGATCTGTTGGCTGTGCTTTCCACGAGCCACTCTGTTTCCAGTACTCTGACACAGTAACTGCCCTGAACTGCCAAATCAGCCATTTTTCAGCAGTGCCCACATGAACCAAACGGAAGGGGAAAAAAGGTTTTCCCAAAAAGGAAGATGAGGAATCCCTCTGTATTTGAGCATGAACAGCATGGCAGGTATTCCTGCTTCTGTTCCAAGTTGCCAGGACCAGCAAGTAACCTTCCGATTCTGCTCAGTCCCCAGCCTGCTCACAGCACACAACTCAGGAACTGCAAAAGCAATGCCAGCAGCATGTTCCTGCTTTGCACATTAAACAAAGCACATAATTTCATTAATTTCACAAAATAAACCCACGATGAAGTGCTTCTTCATTTTTTCTGCCTCATTCGGGATCAGCCTCAAACCCCAAGCACAGGCACAGCGGGAGGAGCCGCCCCCACGTGCCAGACAACCCCAGTCAGGTGTATGAACACTTCGCTACTGCTCTGCTCTTCTCACGCTGCAAACTCTATTTCCCTTGGACTTCACTTGCAGAGCTTTCTTCTTTAAAGGAAGTGGCATTCCTCACATTCCTGCTGGTGGCCCAGAGGAGGGACAGGCTCTGGAAGCACGGTACCACTGGCTGGCAGCACGGATACCCCGCTCACTGGTGGACAAACCCAGGTGGGACAGGCCTCTCCCAGGTAAGGGGTTCACAGACCACCACCACTGAAATGAAGGATGCAAACTGACACTGATGTTCTGGATTTCACAGATGCTCTGGCTGCTTGAGCACTTGGCAAACACTTTGCCCCCAAGAGGGCATCGCCTGCCATTCCCAATCCCTTGCGTTAACATGCCTCAGTCCCCAGGTGAGCTGGTGCAACCCCAGGTGCCAGAGTAGCAGGGGCAGGAGGAGCTGCTATGGGGAAGCACACCCCAGCCAGTCTGCAACCACTTCCCCACTGCTCCTTCAGCCGTGGATCATCAGGCAGAACAAAACCAACAGCACTTCTAGTAACAGCATTTGCCATTACCATTCAGAATATTTTATACTCTGTGATCACATGGGCAGCAGGCAATTAGTCAAAATTCAATATTCTTATTGCTCTTGAGATACCCCAGAGCTGACAGGGACTGTGGGGATGTCCCAGCCTTGTGGGCTCTCTGCAGGTGCAGGGCTCTTGCAACAGTGGCCAGCCTTCAGCTTCGGGAACCCTGCGCTTCAGCTCAACACACCCGAATTAACGTGAGCTTGATGGAAAAGATTCAAAAAATACTCTGGACTTCACAGTCCCCAGGGAACCACACTGAGTGCTGCTCCTTTTCCAGGGAGTTTTGCCATCTTGATGGCACATCGCGGAGGGGACGCCATGACCTGGACAGGCACCCCTTCCACGCTCCGACTGTGGGGGTGACACAAATTGGTCCCATATATTTGCTCAACCCCACAAATTTGTAACATATTCAGCTACTTTGGAGAATAAGGAATGAACTGGGACATGTAGTGCAGGGTTACAATACACAGTGCCATCCTGGGCAGCCTTAAAACACAGAGGTTTTTTGTAAGAGTCAATTCTAAAAGGCACTTAAAAGCATTAAAAGAAAAAAAAAGAAGCAGTGGCAGTAGCCATGCTGCCAGGTCTGTACCAGGGCAGGGCCGACAGGAGCCGTGCGCTGACTGGCTGACCGGTGCTCAGTGCCAGGCCCAAGGAGAGCTGGAGTGGCGGGCGGCAGGGACCTATCGCTTTCCTGCCTCCCTGCCAGCGTCTGGGAGCATCACAGCCAGCCCAAAGGCTCCAGACTCGCTCCTCATTCAGTCTGGGTCCCTCACGTCCCTCAGGCAATTCTCCAAACCTTCAAGATCTTCTCTGTGCTTTAGAAAAAAGATGGCAAATAACTCTCTGTCAAGCGAAGAGGAGAATGTCAGTGTCGTGCGAGCAAAGCGAGAACGCCAGAGCACATCGAGATGTCAGTGAACACACGATTCGGGCCCCAGGGCAGCAGAGACAAAGAATTTCTTCCTATGCTAAATATGCTCAAAATACAGAGTTTCATAATTGCATTATTTGCATACTCTCCCAAGCAATACCTGAGCCTGGAATCTGCAAAACGTGGATGCTGGCTGATTCCGGAGAGCAGGGCAGTTCTGTTGTGCCCCTCCAGACAAGCCCAAGCTCATGAAGCAATTACTACTGCTTTTTCTACCATGGAAATTCTGGGCTTCTCCCAGCAGAGAACGTAAATAGAGAATACTGTTGGAACCAAAGCCTGAGGTAGCATTTTACATTTCCAATGTTTAACTTTTTCTTCTTTCTCCCACCACGTCATTAAGTGTTTACAGGGATGATTAATGACTGCGTCTGCCAACTGTTAACGAACGGCATCTCTGCTCAGAGCCGCAATCCAGTGCCTGGCAAGCACTGTGCAGAGACAAGGTTACTCCAACATCCTTGAGCCCCAGTGCCCCTGGAAGCTCTCTCATCCCAGACAACCTGGTCCCTGGACAGAAAGCAGCAGGATGCATCTCCTGCGGACAATGTATCTTGCTGCCCGAAGCCACTAGTGGGTAATGAGGCAGCCAAGACATCTTTACCACCTCCATCAGGGGACACAGGAGCTCAGCTGGGTGCCAGAGGCCACTGGCTCAGCGCTTTGGGAGCCCGGCCCCACTGCCCATGGAAGGGAGCAGAGACCCAGCCCCTGAAATCCCCGCTCGAGGTGCACTGCCAGCACACTGAGCGGGAAGCCTTTGCTCCATCCGTGCACTGACACCAAACTGGATCTGCATTACACAAACCCTGAAGTGGTTCACAGTGAATGACAACTGAACCCCGAGAGCGAGGAACTCCCTCACATACACAGAGCACTGCCAAACTTTCTAGCAATTAACTGATTTGTCCTAACGTGAGAAACTGTATGAAACCCTGTCTCTATCCTCTCCCAGAGCCAGAAAAATAAGCACAACACACCTTCACAGGCATCTCTAAAATTTAAATCTGTAATTAATTGCTTGGCTAAACTTATGATTTTCTATCTCTGGTAAAAAAAAATGAATTAGAAGGAACACTTCCTTCAGTAGAAAATACAAAACTGCTATAAACTTGATTTAAGACAAGATGACATCTTGGTATGTAAATGTATTTCCATCAAACATTTCAGTTCCAAATGCATGCTCTGATGGAAAGCAAACACCTCGATAACATGTTTGAAGCATTTTTAAGTGCTCCATTTATCTTGCTGCTCAGCACGTGATTTTACTACCTGTAAAATCAACCACAACCCATCCAGCTCTCAGAGGATACAGTTTCTCTGTCCCGGCTATCCAATCCAGAGCAACATCTGACCATTATCCTCAAGCTGCAGATGAAAGCGCTCAGAAAAAGTTATTTGCAGTGTTCCCATGGTGATGCCCCGGCAGAGGAACGAACAAACCCCATCTGCTCTCTGACCTCTGTGCCGGCAGCACCACGGGGCTGATGGAGCCCAGGCCCAGTGACAGCACGTGCCCACCCCACCTCCCCAGCGGCTGAACACGCGTGTGCTCCGTTCAGGGCCCCACAGAGGCAGGCAAAAGCTGTGTTTGAGCTTCCTTGAAGTATCCCCATGCAAAGGGGCGCAAAAAGCAATGCTTAAGGATTTTGGAAAGGAGCCGGGTCATGGCAGGGTTGGGGGTTTGGCCCCCCCCTTCCCTCAGGATGTATATCACACTACACCACACCCCACACCCCCCCGCTGCGCTCACACTTCACAGCCCACGGACACCCGTGACTGCCGAAACACACAGAGCCTAAGGGAGGACAGCATTGTCACACACATGTTCAGATGTGGAAGTTATTTAAGCATTTCATTTACTTTCCATCTTTTACTAAACCTCCCTGTCAGGGAGACACCTCACACACAGAACCAGGTATTCCAAAATCAGTGCAAAGATTCTGAAGCACCACCATATAAAATACATCTTTTTCTTCTCTACTTTATAACTTGTGCCTTCACCAGCACAGGCAGAACACCTGTGTATCAGGTGAAAAAAATGTATCCCCTTAGGAATGTAGTCCGATGTTATTATTCTATTATACCCTAAGAAAAATTCAAGCTTTATAACAGCGAACAGAATTAAGCTTTCAGATTGGGAGTGGGGAAGCAATAAAATCTGGAAGCTCAGATCTTTCCTTCCCCATAATTAACACAAATTTCCAAGACTTCACCTAGGCATAAGATTCTGCCTTTTTTTTTTTTTCCCCTCTGAACTAATGAGGCCAAAATTCTCTGACCACAAGAAAAGCTCTCCCATTTAAACAATTCAGTAGGGAAACTGCACCGGCCACACCACACAGCTGGCAGTGTCAGCACCAGCCATAACCCACGACAGACCCAGCCTCTACCTCCTTGTGGAGTGGCAGCCACAGTAACAGATTTGGGAGGAGAGGATACAAAGGAGAGTGACAAACCTGGCATTCAAAATGACAGAAGCACACTGGGTCTGGCTTTTTATGTCCCAGTTGATGACCTGTGACTATCAGCAAATAATCCTTCCAGAATTACAGCATGAGACAAGCCCACCCCAGCAGCATTCGGGCGAGCCCCGGCAGAGCCGCTCACTCGGCACTCCCCGGAACACTAACACGTCTCTTATCAGGAAGACCACGCTCCCAAACTCAGCTCCCAGCCTAACATACCACACCGAGCAGAGCTTTCCTGTTTGCACCCTGTCCTGCTCATGAATAATAACAGTTTTCAGCTGTATGATGAACTTTGCCACGCCCTGTGCCCAGGGAAGCTCCACACACCAACCCTGCCCAAAGCCGTGCGTGCAGGAGCGCACCCAAGGCTCTGCCCTGGGACAGCAGCACTACTAGAGAACGTGACTAAAACCCAAGCAGCTGTTTCCAATACAAGGAAGAGCATCATTGTGTCACAAACCTATGAAGACCTTGTTTTCCCAACTGTCCTTGACCAAACATCATCTGTCAGAGCCACTGGAATTGCCACTGCTCGATACCCTGCCCCTGTTAGTACAGACTCTGTCGCAGAATGAACCACAAACCACGTTTTCTACAATTTACATTTCAATGCAAATGACCCAAACCAAAAACATCTACACAAAAGCCAAGGCCAGCAACTCCCCCAAAGCTGATTCATTCTCTCACCCGTACTTGGTATATTAAAAATAGATACCTGACTGTAACTTCCAGACAGCCGAAGGAAGGGGGTTTAGAACTCCAATTTTGAAAAATACACACAGGAACTTCTCCGTGATTGATTCTACGCTCAGCAAACATACACACGAGTGAGCTGTGTTTGATCCTGTGCTCAGCTGCCACTTGCAGGTGTTAAACTCGTGAGCACAGGTTCTGTTAACAAGTTTAGATGCTACAAATGGGGGATCAGAGGGACAGGACCAGTCAGCTCTCAACAAGCAGAATTAACTGGAGTTTTACAGTCCTTTCTCCAAGTGGATCGCCTCTATTATTAAGTGATTCCTACAAATAAGGCAAAGCTACAGTAAGACAAAGCTGCTGAAAACTAAAACTACACTGTGCACATTGCCATGGGACATCCAGCCTTGCTGCCCAGCAGGAATAAAGCCTAGGGATCATAGAGCTATCTGGGTAATTCTTTAACTTCACCTTGGCCCACAGATACCCAAATTTCAAATACTTCTGTTTCATTTAAATTACCCCAACCATGATGCATTAATAGGAGACCTGTGAATGAGCACGCTCAGGGTAACTGGATTTCAGTATAAAATGCCAAGTTCTGTGTGTCCTGTTCTTAACAAGACTCCTCAGACACAGGAAAGCTGGTTATTTCCCTGGCCCCTGTGGGGCAGGAAAGAACATACGCCGCTTTTTTGTTCAGAAGTCTTCATGCACAGGAAGGTAACACTTTGTTCAGCATGGTACAAACACACCTATCTGATTTTAAACCATTTTGAAACGGGTCATTAAGATGATACAAGATTTGACTCCGAGACAAGTCACACACACATGAGCAATAGGCTCCTACTGTACTAGTAGTCAGCTTCCACGTTTGCCTTCAAGTCTAGCTTAAACCTCACTTGCAGCATGTACTAGGACTTTATTACTTATAGAACAGGTTCCAGAGCCAAGGAATTCGTATCCTGGAGCTCACATGGCATGCTCTCACAAAAGAATCCATAAGCATTAAGTAAGCTGGTACATTTAAGTATAAGTAAGAGATTTAACTACCTCGTTAGTGTTCCAGCGGTGCCTCTCTTTCGGTAAACTTGAACATTTTGGTAGACATTCAAGCAGCTTCTTCGGTAAAAAGATTTTTACATGACTGCCATTGCTGTTCCCATGATCATCTAGAAAGGAGAGGAGACACGTGATGTACACATGGGAGAACGGGTGGTTTCCACCAGGAGATACGAGCGATGGCAAGGCTTGGAAACCCCCCAGTTCCCTGTCCAAGAGCAGCAATCTGTAATGCCAGCAAGACAAATAATGTCTTTCTGATGAAACTGCAACTTTATTTCACAAGTATAAATACAGTTTAATTCTTCATGGTTGCAAAGTTTGAGAAGAGCTTTGATGGATTTGGGCACAAGGAGCCTGTCTGTGCTTACCTGTGCCTATTTTAGGTCATTATTTGCCTCAGTGACAAATTTTACAAGCAATAGCGACAAAACGCTGTAGAAGTTGTGACCACAGCAGCACAACCTGCCAGGGAAGTCATAAATGAAGTTCACACTTGACAGGATTTGCAAGTAAATAAGCACAGAGCCCCAGTACCTGCTATAATTTTGTCAAGCTGCAGCAGAAATGCAACTCAAGGTCTATTAGTTCATTTAAAACTAGAACGCACAGTACCCAATCAAACCCAGGTTACTCCTCTTTTCATGCACAGCTCAGAAAGTGAATGTAGTTCCTCAACATGGTATTGAGAAAGAAGGGTGGAAATCTTCCTACCTCACCATACCTGAGGTCTCAAAAGCAGAAACACTGAAGAATACAAAACTATTCTTTTTTAATGTTGAATATGTAGAAGGCGCATCAATTCCCCTCAAAAAATCATGTCCAAAAACCCCTGCACTCCCACACCAGCCCACAGCAGTCCCAGCAGCAGCACCTTGATGATGTCTATCAATCCTCTAACACCACCCAGAGAATCACAGCATCCATGAGCTGCACGTGTTTATCAACCAAATCAGTCCCCACAGAAAAGGGAATTGGAGCAGTAGGGTAAGAGAGACCAGCCACAATGCAGAGCTTTACCAGTTCTCCCTCCAACTACACTATTTCTGCCTTCTTCCACCATCCTCTCACTTCCCATGACAGATCCTGGGCACACAAGCAGTACACTTACTCTCTGGCATTTTACCCCACAAAATTAATTTATAGTCATTTCCCATTTGGAAGTGTACAGAAAAGGGATATTAACTTCTTCCTTTTACACATCTAATCATTTTATGCCATTAAACAGATGCCAGCAATATGATAAAACTCCTCTGCAATTTCGTACGACACAGACATTCCCTGCGACCTGCAGCGAACCCAACAGAGCCTGGCCCACGAGCATTCTTAGAAATGATTTAGGAATTGTAGAGACCTCACACCAGCAGCCAGACATCCCTGGTATTCTTAAAGCTTGATTAGACTCTTGGATGTGTCAAGTTCAACAATATACATGCTGTTAAATCAACTGCTCGTGCAAGCCCAGCAGATGAGTTTACAAGATAAGCAGCGATGTGTATGATAAACGTGAGCTGCTCTGTAATTTATGAGTCCTGTGCACTCCCTGAGTTATTGGGAACTTTACTGTGCGACTGTGTTGGACTAAATCAACAGGGCTGCCACTTCCCAACTTCTTCCTGGGCAAGGAGCAGTCAAGCAGGATCGATCTCTGCTGGACTGATAAAGAAATGGGCGAGAGGGTGCTCTCCATTACTGCTCTGTACACCATTCCAGGATTTCTAGCTGGACACTGAGTATCTCAGACCGTTACTCTACAGGGCTTTTTGGCCATGTCCCTTCTCCAGCCCAGGCTCTGCACATGTGACTGTCATCACTGCTATTTCCCCCCACCCAAGCCACTCAAAGCCTTACAGACACCCCTGTCGTGACACCTGGGCTTATTCACAAAGACACAACTTGCCTGGGGCAAAGACCAGAGTCGGGCAGCCCTGCCAGCAGCTCTCAGCCATTCCCACCTGCATTTCCAGATCCACAGCTGGTACTCACTTCACGCTCCCTGCTTTCATTTTACACCATTTCCATTCCTCATTCAAAACACTGCATTGCTCTACATTCAATTCATTAAGGCACAAAGTATTTTACAGCACACATTATTGCTTTTATCAGTCAAACTACATCCCAGTTACATCTCATCAGCTTATTTTCCATGGACACATTTTAATTGACATTAATTGTATTACTTCCCCTTACCTCCGTATCAGTCAAGTCCTCTATCATTCATTCCATTATTTTGCAGGGCTGGCAGACCTCTAATTATTCAGCTCATTTTATTAACTTTCTTCCATTGTCATCAATTATCAGTATTATTAATCCAGAAAGCGCCTATGGATAATAGATCCCTTTAAAATGTTTTGGTAGAACTTGTCAGAACTTGCTGATGCTAAACCTTCCAACTCCTGTTGTTAGCATCTCCCACCTTGTGTTATTACAGCAAGGGAAGGTCATTCTCATCATCTTGTAATGCGACTACATCTCACAGATGCCTCCCTCTTCTGCGTTTAGCAATGACATTTCTTCATTCCAAAAAATCCCCAATGTGGAAAACAACAACTGCCACCTGCCTCGATCCAACAATCTTTTCATTAGGGACTCCTCGAGCCACACAGTCAGAACAACACACAACAATCACGTTATGGGATGTGAATCCTAAATTCAGTGACCTCTAAACCAGGTTTGACCTTGGAAAAGGACAAAGTCAGCCAACCAGCTATGAGGGTGAAAAACTCATCGCCTCAAATGATGCACACACATTTGCCTTCACACTCACTTCTCTGCCCACTAGAATCTTTCAGAATGTATTCCCACAGGGAGGAAAGTCCCTGGAAAGCCAGGCAGAGAAGAGGGCTGGTCTTCCAGTGGCACTGTGGATACTGGCAGACCAAGAGTTCCCGCTCCTCTGAATGAACCAGCGCTTCCCTGCTCCCGTTCCTCACAAATAACACCGTGATACTTCCAATGAAACATGCACATCTCTAGGGAGGTGGAGCAAAAAATCCCCCGTGCTATCCCTTGGCTTGAATCAAATCTGCCATTCCTAGTCCAGCTGACGCACTCACCCACCACCACAGGGGCTCCTGGTGAAGGCAGAGGAACAAGAGCCCACGTTGCTCCGCATCCCCGTGCTCCCGGCAGCGTGGCCAGCACACCCACAGGCAAACTCCTCCATTTGTCTCCAACTAAAATTTCCTCAGTAGCTAAAAACAGGAGCTGGAACCTCACAGCGCTGATTTGGTTTTACTGTGCAAATCCAGATTTGTACTGGAACTTTCTCCTCGTTTATTTTTGCCATGGGTGCGACTCACAACACCGAGGTCTGCAAACCCGTCCAGTGTCAATAAAAAGTGCCTGTGCAAGCAGAGCTGCACTGACATGGGGAGGATTTGCCAGTAAACCTCTATCGACACAGGGGTTTTTAGTGCAGAGCTGGCCACAGCTCAAAAATGTTTCCCAAGGCAGGCACAGCCACAGCCGAGAACTCCAGTAAGAAGCTACAGACTAAAATATAGCAGCCTACACTGTGTCCTGTTATATATCATTCAGGATGAAAATCCAAAATTTAAGTTCCATTAGCAATCTTCAAGTTTATTTATTAGCAAACAAGAAACTCATGTAGAATTAAGAAAGTACAAGTATTACAAAGTTCATGGAAAGTTCCGTATTAATTATACCACATAAACCCTTTGTCACTTTATGGGTTTCTTCATGCTTCTTGCACTTTATCCTCCCAAGGGATGCACCATGGACCATAAAACTTTAAAGTGCACAACAGCAAATCACACAGAGAGTCTGTGCTCTACCCCCGCTCTCCAAACAATCCCCCTCATCCCCCCTCCCTTTTTTCTTCTTTAACTGGTTCTTAAATCTTCGGTGATCCAGGAGGTGAATTTAGACCTGCAGCCCCTTTAACTACCATAGTTTGTCAATATAACATGTAATTGGAGAATACAGAAATGGCCAAAAGGGTGTTGATCAGCTGCTGATCCGCAGACAGGTCTATAGTAGAAATAAATATCACAAGTAAGCTATAAACTCACAAACACAAGTTTTATAAACCCATTATTACAAAGTAATAACTTAGGGTTGGCCATCTTCTTAACTACCTCACAAGAAAGGGAAGAGGTGTTTAAACATTACAAACGGGCTCTTTAGTACAAAACAAACCGCTGAAATCCCAATGTCATCCTGGGCTGGCATCCAGCTGACCCCCCCCGACTGACTGCTGAGGCAGCAGCTGTGCCCCTGCAGCACACGGGTGGCACCACAACACATGCACCCGCACTGACACCCTACGTGGGGGCCACCAGAGTCACCTGGACACTTGCTGACCTCTGAACAGGGAAAAAAACAACAAATTCCATCCGGAAGGAATAAATCCCAGATCCAAACATCTGCAGGACTGCCACGCTATTTCTCATGGCTCAACTTCGATCCTGGCATTTTTCACCCATAAACAAGCAGCAACAGAAGCAAACCCAACAGCTTTTGGTCTGCTTCCTAGCAATATTTGGACAATTACAGTTGTAAATCTCTTGGCAACAAAAGTAGATTTCTAAATATCAATTAAGGGTGCTAAGAGAAGATAACCAGGTCCAGCTCTGCAGCGCGGCTGTCTCAGCAGGGCTCCACAGGATGCCAGCACTCAGCCGGGCGCTGGCTGAGCAAAGGTGTTCCCGGTCCTCCAGGAATGCAGCCCAGGGCTGAGGGGAGGATGCAAGGAAATGGTAAACAGTTCAGGCAAAGGTAAAAAATGTACAACAGGAGTGAGAGGCCAACACAAACCAGCACATGTATGGCTGTGGCTGCTGTCTGTGGGGAATACGTGAGGAACAAGAAAAAACAAAAAGCACAAGGAAGGAATCACGGGAATGGGGGCAGTATCAAGGATGAGCAACAAAACAGTTTTCCTCTAGGAAGGTACTGAATCTAGCTTTAATATCTTGGAATACTTGTGACAAATACTTTGTTGCTATGACGAGCTCTACAAACACTTTGAAAACCACAAGAAACAGAAATATAGCTAAAACCACTGCTATGCATCAGTGGCCCAGTTCTCCCCACCAGTGACAGGCTACTCCCAAGTTCCTTTGTCCTTTCCACATAGCACAAGTTT